AAAAAATAATAATTGTTAAAACAAAAAACAAAAAAATTTATTCACGAAAACTTTTTTTTAGCACGCGGTAACAACACATTCATCAATTCATTCAGGGATTCATCAAACCCTCCGTTATTGTAGGTTGATGGAGAACGATCTACAGCTAGCGAGAAAGGCTCTGTCGGTGCAGCAACGTTTGCAGGAGACGGCAGCGAAGATGGACACACGGCAGAGAGACGTGGACACGCTGCACAACCAGCTGCGCGCGGCCGCTAAAGTAAGATCGGCGACGACGCCATCTAAGTAAATGCAACGTCACAAGGTGGCGCCTGTGACGAGCATGTCGAGCCTTCCCTATCTCTCTCTGTTCTTCTACTCCCGGAGAGCTTTCGCGAGGTTGAAGTCTCCACTGTAAAATCGCGGCCGCAGCGTTGTGTATACCCTCTCAGAGTTGTGTACGATAACTTTGCTAACGAGCGCAATAAATTAAGAGGCTCTATCAAGAGACATTATCATTAAGAGGCTGTAATCATTAAAGTGATTACGTCGTTTCACGGTTGTTTCTCGATAATTGCCGCAGCATTGTGTACCCTTTTATAGAGTTTTGAACTTTGCTAATGTGCGCAGTAAATTACGAAGGCAACGTTGATTCGTGATGGCCGTACGCTTCGCGCTGATCCGCGTGCCGATCTCTAAACGACCTCTTACACCTTGTGATACGTCCGCAGTAAATTACTAGAGGGCGTTAAAAATAAATTTCAAGATTAGCCGCACTAGCTGGCCGCCGTCCGATTTCTAAGCGACCTCTACACCTTATGCGTAACGTCCGCTAAGGTAACTTACTAAGGCTGTTAAAAATGCAAATTACCGAATAGCCGAGCTAACCCGCCGGTCCGATCTCTAACGACCTCCTATTACACTTTTGCTAACGATCCGGCTAGTAATTACGAACTGCGTTAAGAAGACTAGATCCGTGGAATAGCCGCAACGTAAGACGGCGTGCGTGCCTGAACGGTCTCTAAACGACCGTCTGACCAACTTTGCCGAACGTCCGCAGTAAATTTTACGAAGGGCGTTAAAAAAATAAATTCACGATATGCGCGTAACGCACTAAACGAGCGCTCCGATCTCAAAACGACTTTCTACACTTTGCCTAACCGTCCGCAGTCATTACGCAATGCGTTAGAAAAAATAAATTCAGCGATAGCCGTACTAACTCGCGCGTCGGCCACGCGATTTGCTCACGACCTCTACACTTTGCTAACGTCCGCAGTAAATTACGAATGCGTTAAAAATAAATTCACGATAGCCGCACTAACGCGCGTCCGATCTCTAACGACCTCTACACTTTGCCAACGTCCGCAGTATAACATTACTAAAGCCGTTAAAATAAATTCACGATAGCCGCACTAACGCGCGTCCGATCTCTAACGACCTCTACACTTTGCTAACGTCCGCAGTAAATTACGAATGCGTTAAAAATAAATTCACGATAGCCGCACTAACGGCGCCGGACGCGATTTCTCTAACGACCTTCATACACTTTGCTAATCGTCCGCAGTAAAAATTACGCAATGCGTTTAAAAATAAATCACGATACTGCACAACGAGCGTGCCGATGTCTCGTAACCGCCTCTACACTTTGCTCAACGAGGATCGCGCAGTAAATTACGAATGGGTTAAAAATAAATTCACGATAGCTGCAACTTAACGAGGCGTCCGATGCTCGTTAACGACGCCCTCTACATTTGTACACGTCCGCAGTAACATTACGAATGCCTTAAAAATAAATTCAGCAGATAGCGCGTACTAAACAGCGCTTCCTACCATCGCTGCGTCCGGGCAGGAGACGCAGAGGCTGCGCCGAGGAGAAAGGAGGGCGTCGAACCTGGCGCTACTTCGGCACCGCGTGCAGGAGAAGAACGGAAGCGCGTGCATATCAGCTGCAGCAATTTCCTGTCCGCCCCGGAGGGTGCAGGACTACGACAGGATACACATCGCCCCGCCTCGAACCGCGCTCGAAAAAGGCGATGCGTGTCGTCGCTACCGACGTGTCGACGCAAAGTAAAAAATTACTAGAAGTAAAATTGCTTCGGGCCTCCTCACCAATAATTCTATGTCCCTCAATCAGTTTTTTTTTCCCTCCTCCGAATTCCCCGGTGAGTGTAACGTATCGCTCTCTCTCTCCTCCTCTCAGGTCTCTCAGAGTCTCCTCGCTCTCGTCGAGTCTCTCTCTCTCTCTCTCTCTCGATACTGACTTCTCTCATCTCTCTCTCCCCTCTCTCCGCCCCTCCCTCCTCCCTTCCGCTCCCGCCTCCCTGACCCCCCCCGTCCTCTCCTCTCATCATTGGGCCTGTCCTCTCTCGCGCCTCTCTGTCCTCGTCTCTCTCTCCTCTCTGCTATCCTCTCGTCGCGCTCTCGTCGCTCTCATCTCTCCGTCTCTCCTCAGTCTCGTCAGCCTCCACCTCAACCTCCCCTGCCACCCTTTCGGCTCTCTCTCCGAGGTGCAGGCGGCACGCGATCAACATCCTATCGCTCATCACTCTCCACTCTCTCCTTCCCACCCCGTGCAGGCGCCGGCACTGCAGCGCGCGTAACGGTCGCACGCTAGTCTGCTCTCATCTCGCCGCCCGCGATCGAAGTAAGCGCTCTCGTTCAGGAAGCTTGGCGCCGACGCAACAACAGCCAGCAGCACCAGGAGGAAGACAAGCAACTAACGCGCTGCTGCGTCGGGCAGCCGCCTGGCCGCACCGCCGCTGCCCGAGCCAGCAGGCCTGCAGCCAAGTCTCATCACGACGCGAGCGCCCGGACCGGGCGGCGTATCAGCCATCATAAGCCGCGCGCCGACTCGCACCCCCGACCCCGGACGACCTGCAGATAGTTAGCAACACCGACCGATCGCAAGACAGCAGCGCCCCGGTCGCGCAGTGAACGCGCCGAAAATCTCGCCGCGCGGCGCAAAGCGCGGAGCGGCGCAGCGATCAGAGACAAAGCAGGCTCGAGGCTCGCGTCAGGGTAAAAAAATACACGGCGAGCGACTGAGCGACTTCGCGTCTCAAAACCTCCGTAGAATACGATCCCGTTGAGGCTCAAAATAGCTTCCCCGTTAAAAATCTTTGACGAAAAAGGAGGGGGGACTTTGGAAAAAAGAGCTCACTCCCGGTGAAAAAAAAAAAAAATTTTTTCCCTGGTCCATGTAGGCGGCCGGGTTCGACCGGAGCGTTCGTTTGGTGTGGGTCGCCCGGCCGCTGCGGATTGAACGAAGTTGCATCGCTACGTACGGCAAATTCCCGTGTAAGTTACGTTACAGCTTACAGTTACCACTCCACGCCGTGTGTCGTTACACGCTGTAGCTAGATGTCTTTGTACCTGTCGGATCGGTGGTTGTATTCAGCCTTGTACGTCGATGCTGGTCCGTTTACATGGCGATGCGGGTCGGTGATATTAAACAGGTGTTTTTTCTTCATCTCGGCTTTGCCGGTGCCTCTCCGGGCTGGCAGGACGACGTGGCGCCCCTACGTGTGTACGTACGTACCGCTATGAAGCCCAGCGTTTGTTACGTACGACATCCGTACCGCTGCCACGCGTTTGGTTTGCAGTTATCACGCCCACTCAGCTCGTTACAGGTGTACGTCGATGTGTCTACTACATTCTACCAACTACACTAGTACAGATCTAATAATACGTAGGTACATAATTACAGTCTTCATACTACAGAGTTCTTATACTACATACCTATCATACTTCATCACGTACAGATTTTATCTACACATACTACAAATTTAATACTAAATACTACATTCTACATCACTATCAAATACTACAAATACTGACAGATTTTTATACTACATTACTACAGTTCAGCACATTCATACTACAATACTCACAGATTTTATGACACATACTAACATACTACACGATTTTATACTACATGACTTCATCACTACAGATTTGTTGATATCTACATGTCTAAAATTCCTAGCCGTACTTATACTACGATACACATACTAAAAAACATACTGAAATTTCTACGTAACTGACCATTCAGGTAGCAATAGGTTTGGCAAGCGTTTCTCCCAGCCTCTCGCTCATTCATCCCCTCCCTTCTCCCTCCCTCCTCCGCAGGAGGACGACACCTGATAGCCGACGGTTCTCTCCGCCGACGCCGACGACGGCTGGGAGGTTGAAGAACGACATAGTGGCTGCTAGAGATGGCAGGAACTATCGGCAGCTGATCCGGCAGCTGGGAAGAGGCGTCTGACGCGGGCGCGGGTCAGCAAACGGCAGCGCGGCAGCCTGAGCAGACAGGAGGAAGAGCGGTGGTCAGACCACAGGGGGCGACACCCGCCTGCGGGGCAGCCCCCAGCTCCGGACGGAGACCACGCAGGCGCAGAGGAGGGAGGCCGAACGGCAGCGCGGAGAGAGGGGCGTCCACCGCGAGCGAGCGGCGAGACGGCGGTCGAAACGAGGGCCGAAGCGAGCACGTCCTCTGACCTCGTGGCGCGAGACATATTCACAAGACCTCTCAGCAGAGATCGTCAACTCCACAGGTATTGGTCAGCCATATACGCGTCAGCGACCTAGGTCAGGCGGTCAGCGACCTAAGTCAGGTCAGGTCAGCGACGCTAGACATCGAGTGCAGCGACGCTAAGGTCAGGTCAGGTTCAGGCGACAACCATACAGTGTTAGGTGTGCAATTATTACTGGTAGGCAGATTATATTCTTCGGAACGATCGCCATTGGTTTTTTAAAATGTTTTCACTGGTGTGTTTTTATTGGGCAGCAGAAAATGAGCAGACCCTGGTGTGATAGCCGAACAATAGGCCCGCAGGCGTACATACGCCACTGACGAGCGGAGGGCCAGCACAGGCCAACAGGAAAGCCGCGAGTGTGACTACGTCCACATCGACTGCCAATGCAGTGTAAAACTCGGCATGATGGTGACAAGTGTCCCCTGTACATCGGACAACGGTCACTCGCCTTACGGTGACGATCTCTGACAAACTGACAGTTTTCTTCACACTGGTGACAGTCCATGCGCTGTGGTGACAGTCACTGCACACTGGTGACAATCTCTGCACACTGGTGACAGTCCATGCGCTGTGGTGACAGTCACTGCACACTGGTGACAATCTCTGCACACTGGTGACAGTCTATGCGCTGTGGTGACAGTCATTGCACACTGGTGACAATCTCTGCACACTGGTGACAGTCTATGCACTGTGGTGACAGTCATTGCACACTGGTGACAGTCTATGCACTGTGGTGACAGTCACTGCACACTGGTGACAGTCCTTGCACACTGGTGACAGTCATCGCATTGTAGTGACAGTCATTGCATCATGGTGACAGTCATTGCACACTGGTGAGTCATTGCACACTGGTGACAGTCATTGCACACTGGTGAGTCATTGCACACTGGTGACAGTCATTGACAGCTTGTGACAGTCTCTGCATCTACAACATGATCGCAATGCACGTCAGATTTCCTAATCAAACTACATCATCATGTGCTGTATTTGCAGTTTCATGATGTATATTATTGTAAAAAAAATCCTTTACTTATTTTGGTAGAGCTGTAGAGAGCATTTTATATTTCCAGCAGTGTTTATTATAGACGTATAGGTCTTATACGTATCTTAAACTTTGGCAAGTAATGGTTTATCTGTCCAATTTTGTAAGATTTTATTTTTAATATGAACTGTTGGTGTATGGACGTTTAGACTCATTGCAGTTACTTAGAAAATTCGATTTTTATAATTATAAAAGATAAATGTAGAATTTTTTATACTGTGCACAATAATAGCTTTTATAATAAATGCATTTATCTAGTTAAAATGCGTTTTTATGCAGTTGTTATTCTTACATAAAAAAACATGAATGCAACATCATAATTATATTCGAAATTACTGCTATCTAGCTACCTGAGGCTGATCATTTTCCTGGAGATAAATTGCAACTAACCTATTGAACAATATATACAACTGACATTGTGTCATGAATCATGTGTATAAATGTATAACATAACCATACTTGCCACACATCTATTTCTCAGCTTGGGTAGTGCAACATCACGTATTTACACGAGCTACAGCGGCGCCCGCTAAGATCTCTTCGCCTGTATCCCGTCGACAACTTTCTTCGTTTCTTCGTGACCGCGTGCCATCAGAAATTGTAGACTGCTAGCGCTGCACGACTCCTCAATGTGCACAACCACCTGTGTACGTGGTGGCAATACAAAATCACGATGGTGTAACTGGGTTGCTAGACCAGAGCGAATGGATAATGTAAGCAAGGCAGAAAAGGTCTATGTCCCCCTGACCTCTGTTTGACCTGGCTCGTTTAGCTATTTCTGACTAATATAT